CGGTAGACATCCCGGACTTTTATTTGAGGACCAAAGGTCCTTTGGTGGTTGTAGTAGTAGTTACCTAATTCACCTTTGGACAATGTCCCTTGTGAGTAAGTGGTAGAAAACATCCTGCCTACTTGGGTTTCTTACTACTCGGAGGGCTTGGAATTCCTTTTAGAGAGTGTGCACACTTAAGGTAGAAATTCAGCTTCCAATTGGCGGTCGGTGGGAGCCGGAATTCCGGGATGAGTCGTAAATAACAACGACTCATCGGGCTCGAGAAATCTTGAGTTTCGCCCACTCTTAAAAGAAATCTAAAGTATTACTTTTGGAGGAATTGAGGAATGACATTATCTATTGAAGAAATTATTTTGAGACATGAAGTTATTTTGGAGATATGTGAGGGTATTTTCTATATATATACATATACCAAACCCAGGGGCGGATCCAGAAAAGTCATTTGGGGGGGGGGGGGGGCGAAAATATTTTTGGGGGGGTTCAAAATACTTTTTGGAAGAGCAAAAATTATTTTTCGTATACACTAAAAAAAATTTTGTTGGGGGGCGGTAGCCCCCCAGGGTCTCTACTACGGTCCGCCCCTGACCAAACCTATTTTCCAAATTATATTATTTTACGGGTTCGGGTGGAATCTTACTTAACTCTAAAGCTAATTTTTGTCTCTTTTGTTTTCTTCTCTTTGCTCTATTGTAGAGATGATTATGATTATGAAGATTGATGTACTTGATGCCCGAGTGTTCCGCTAGTTGCACACGTTTGATTAATTATCGTTGTTTAAATTTGTAATTCATAAACTTTGTCGTAAGACCTATTTCATTGTTATTTGAACTTATGGTGGATAGCCTGTGCACTCAATCATGTATAGGTTGAGTGTGGCGGTGACACACCTATTTTCCCCTTAAAGACTTCCGTTGTACTCTAAATATGTTTAATAATAAAGATGGTTTCATTTAAAAATGTGATTTTATTTGTGTGGGAAAAATGGGGGTGTTACAGCTAATTCTTTGAAAGTTTAAAAGCACCGCATATCATGTCGACCCCTTAGAGCGAAACTCTTAGGTATGGCTGACACAGCACATCGCATCGACCCCTTAGAGCGCAACGCTCAGGTATGGCCAACGATGTCCCAAGACGGGGGCCTACAAACGGCTCGCGTCTTGAAATGAGAAGCTCACCGCGTCGCCCTCGCGCTAAATCGTAGGACGACAGGCCTGAAAGAATGGCCAAGGTGACAAAATCCTCAAACATGGGATTGGGAAACAGCAGCCATCGGTAACCGACCAAATGCCTGAGCCTGCGCCGTAAATAGACGACAGGACCCCCCCAAGATTACGGGACGATCCAGCAGGACTCCCTACCGACCGAGGGAATAGAAACCCCCTCAGCCGAAGCCTGAAAGAAGGATACCCACTCCTCGCTCAAATGAGTAAAGAAGAAGATAATAAAAGAGGGACAACCGAAGGACCGTGCACTCGCCGGCCTTGTGCTAAATCCCCACAAAGCAAAAGAGGGAAGCCGACGGACCGCACACTTGCCGGCCTCGAGCCATAAAAATAAAATCCCCACCAACCAAGCCACATATTTGGCTAAGTACATATCAGGAAATGTTATGTGTGAAATCCTCTTAAAAACCCGTTTGGTGACATTTTTTTCGGCTTATCAGGCTTATCAGATATTTTTTTACCAAACAAATAACTTTTTATTTCGCGCGCAGGATTGTGTAATAAGAAAAGGTAAGGTTGAGATATTTTTTTCGCTGAATTGATTGAAGTTACTGTAGAGGATCATTTGAGCTATTTTTCATATAATTATTTCTTTTATTTATTAATAGCAAATATTCTAAACGTATTTTTTCATAAATCATCAGAATTAGCCAATACAGCCACTTCAGTCACAATTTCATAAATTTCAGAATTAACAATTTACAATAACAATGCCTTTAAACTCTTTGCTTATGCGATATGTATAACTATATGTTTGTGATATAGAATGATGCCTAAATTCAGATTTTCTTACCAAAACTATATGACCGGACAACAATTGTTTGTCCATGTATATGAGTTTAAAATTTGAGTCTCCGTGCTAAAGGCTTTAATTTATCATTTTCAAAATTCTCTAGAGTAAGGTTCAATATACATAGTTTGTTCGTTCACACTAACTTTCAGTACAAGAGATTTCAGACCCACGCTCCATTAATATAGAATAAACTTTAAAACGGAGACAAAAGTCGTTAAACTTGAAGGACAACTTGCTCCAGAAATATACTCTGTCGTGCCTTTAACTTCAGTTTAAGGCCGAGAAATTGAAATTAAAGTTTTAATTGATAAATTAATGGAAATTTGTTTTTAAAATTTAAACTTACTGAGAAACTAAATATATTGAAATTTATTTTATGATTTTAAGATTTAATTGAGTCCTAAAAAACAATGCGGCTAATAAGAAGACAAAAAAGGATGTCATTTAGAGTAGGAGAAATTATATTGTATTACAAGTTGACGGGTAATGTTTCTTCTACTTTCATGTTCATATCCTAACTATAAAATTATTTATGTTATGCTAAATAATTAACGTGCGTTTGAAGTTACTATTCATTTTTATGTTTGTGGAGTAGTAATCAAGCATTCCAGCCCAGCTGGTTGCGAGGTTACCATGTCTACTGGGAGGTCTCGAGTTCGAAACCCGCTAGACACATAAGGGTTTGAAACTCAATGGAGTGAGTTTCAGCCCTGATTACTCCAGGTCTCCCAGTCCCCCCTCACCCAGATCCCCTGGAGTAAAAAAAAATTATGTTTGTGGAGTAGTAAATTAGATTGCATGTTGTTTGAGTTTTATGTTGATGAATTGAATGTGTTCCTTGCTTACGGGAGCCAATCAATGTTCACTTTAGCTACAACTCACCAAAGCACGGAGTTACAAATGTAATGATAAACTAAACGCTTTAAATTAAAAAGTTATGTTTTGAAAGTTTTAATAATAACATTTTGTAGATGATGTTATTAATTTCATCACTTTCTATTATAATAAATTGCTTTTTACCTTGACGTTTGTTATAATTCAACAAATTTACTTGAAAAAAAATCATTTGTGTATGTACATCTGTACTCAATTGACATACATAACATTAATTAAGGTCCAAACTCAAGGACTAAAAGTTATTAATTAGAGTTATTCTTCTTCCCAAGGTTGAGTGCTTAGAACTAAATCCTAAGGATTGCCATTATAGAGTACATGAAAAAAACTATAGATGTACACGTGTAAATAATTTTTTTTGGAGTAAAAAATTATTATAATTTTCTAAGAGAGTGTTTTCAAAAGTAAAAAAAAAACGCTTATTAGCTTTTGCCTTCAGAAATTGAAATGAGTATTTTAGGAAATCATGTACAAAGATAATTGATTTATCTTCAAATAGATAATCACAAATAAAATCAGTCCAGTTTGTGTCGACAAACCGTGACTTATGCTATGTATCTATCCTTTTATAAAAATTAAGAGTATGTTTGAAGAAGTTCAAAACATTAGTCCTAACACTTAAGTTATTTACAATTTAATGTTATTATTTTTGTGTATTGTCACATGTCAATTCATGTCCACAAAATTACTCATAAGCTGATATTGTTTTTGTACAATCTCTATAAATGAGATTAGCAGTGTTCAAATTTCAATTTTCCTAATACGTGTGGTTGGGAAGTATTGAATATAAACTTCATTTTATTTTTTAATATAATTACAACATTTGGTTAATAATACTTTCACTTCTCTTATTTAGATATTTTTTTTATATTTCATTATTATTACACAAAACTATGTTATTATGCAAACCTTTAAATGGAATATGACAAATAATTAATAGGAAAATAAGAGAGTAAAAAAGGAATGGGTTGACTAAATAAAAAATATGGTAAGTGGAGAGTTTATAAACAAAGAATCGCTTTTTGTCCTGAATTTAAGAAAAAACTCAAATTGATTCATGTGGGTTAAGATTTACTTTGAGTTTGATACATTTACTTTGTCAATATTTCATAATAGTGATGATCAACAATACACATACAAAGTAAATTTTTGTAAATTAAAAAATTTTCATCCACAATTTGTATGACCAAATATATGCGTTTACATGACAAAAGTCTATTTTAACAAATTTTCTCCTAATTTGTAAGTTTTATTCTCTCGTGCATCGCACATGTAGAATACTAGTTGTTAAACAAATACAAATACAAATCGAAATTAATATTCGTTTCATATTTGAATTCGAATTCGTATTCGAAAAATTAAACAAATACAAATACAAAAGGGCGTTGCTTTGCGCACCCCTAATTTTACTTAATCTAACCTTGACCAGACCAATTTGTCCTCTTGCATATACTCCGTGTTCCTTAACTAAAATTGCCATCTTTCACCGTTCAAACCTTCATTAAGCCATAGACTATAATTAAAATTGCCATCTTTCACGGTTCTCAATCCAAATAATTATCAATTTCTTTCCAAAACTTATTAAAAATAAAAAAGAAATAAAATCAATCTAAACATTTTTAACTTTTAAATTTATTTTTTAATGTTCATTTTATACATGAAAATCTAAATGCAAATTTTAATTTAATACTCCGTAACATTTTATTTCAAACCGCTAATGAAAGCGGTTAGTTAAATTAAAAAAACTAACAATTCGCTAATATCAATTTATTGATTCAATCGGCTATGAGCTAGTTGAAAACAAATATTATCAAACACGGTCATTGACATTTTTAGACCTCCACTTTGATGATAAAATCAAAGTAAAAGAACTGCAAATGTCAATTTCACGATGCTTAGAATATGAAATGTTTGGAATTCTAAAGGCGAGGATTGAAAGTTTTGTCACTCACAAAAAATTAACCAATTTGTCATTAGAGCTTCTTTTTTTTTACAATATGTCAAGTGGTTATTTTACCAATCATGAGATGACACCCTCTTGTTTTTTACCGTAATTTGGCCAATTTTACCACCCCAGGGGCCAAACCATCCTTCATCCTTCCTCGCCTCCATAATTCCCATCCACCTGTTTGCAGGGAAAAAACGGTCACCAAAAGGCTATCAAACCTCCTCTAACTACTGTGTGCGGACCTCATCCAACAATAAACGCAAGTTTTCCAAGGTAGTGAAGGGCCAGAAATAAATTCATATTGGCATTTGTCTCAGGATATGCCTCCCTCCCTCATGGGCTCGATCCCTTTCTGCCCGTAAGTCCCATCGACGTTGCATTGGGATCCTATCTAGGTTAGCATCCTTGCACACCCAATTTGGTTTCACTTATTCTAAACTCTGTCAAGGTGAAGCTAAGGCGTTTCCGTTTTCTAGCAGTAGCTCTACTGAAATGAAATATGGTAATTAACTTCTTTCTTTTTTACCACTAAAGTATGTTACTTTGTCTTTTCATGCGATTCTTTGTTTGAGGCGTATGGGTTGTTTTCCTCGTTGAAATACACGGCTTAAATTTAAAAGTTGATTTCTAGTTGATTATGGCTAGGTTCATCTTATTGTCACTTCACAAAGAGAGATATTCAAACAACAAATTTGGGTTCAAGATGCAGTGAATTGGTCACTCTACCACATCCGGCTGTTTTTCCCAATATGAGAAAGTTCTGCACTGTTTTGACGCGAGAATTTGATGCTGGCAGCTATGCTGTCAGTAGTGCTGGAGAGCATAAAGCTGTATTTTCCGCAGCAGAATTAGTTGATTTCACTAAGATTGCAATTGAAAGACTTCCAACTGTTATCATAGTAGGCCGACCTAATGTTGGTAAATCAGCACTGTTTAACCGGTTAGAACCACTGTGATTTTCTATATAGGGCGTCGTTTACCATTTCATTTGGTTGGATTTGGTTGTCATGACTCTTAGTTTGTGAGCATTAGGTTGATACGAAGGAGGGAAGCCCTTGTGTACAACACACCTGCTGACCATGTCACACGAGATATTAGAGACGGGGTTGCCAAATTAGGTGATTTGCGGTTCATGGTGTTGGATTCTGCGGGCTTAGAGGCAGAGGCTTCATCTGGTTCAGTTCTTCAAAGAACCGCACAAATGACCGGGAATGTCCTTGCAAGATCTCAGTTTGCACTATTCTTAATCGATGCACGGTAGTCTCTCGTGAACTTCTTAGCATATGAATTGTTCCCTGTCTCACTGAAGCTCTATTTGGAACAACTTATATATTCAGATAACTTGGAAAAATGAATATTCAGTGAAATTAAACATTAGCTAGGGGTAAATGTAATGTAATGACTTTTAGTATTTTAAATCTGTACGACCAATAATAAAATGCAAAACACTGGAATTAGGAAACTAGCATCAGGTTTTGTGAGTGCGATGAAAAGCACTGCCTTCTTTTCTGTACTTCTTCTTTTTCCTTTTGAGAACGTGCATTCAAAACCATTTTGTACATCTTTTTACTAGAGAGGGATTGCAGCCAATGGATTTAGATGTCGGAAAGTGGTTGAGGAAGCATGCGTCTGGGATTAAGATTGTTGTGGTTATGAATAAATCTGAAGCACTTGCTGACAGTGATGGTTCCCTTGCTGCTGCAGGTGAGGCGTATAGACTTGGATTTGGGGATCCTATTGCGGTATCTGCTGAAACTGTGTTTGGCATGGCTGCACTTCATGAAACACTCCGACCATTACTTGAGGAATATGTGCTCCAAAATCTAAATGGTAAGGTACTTAATTTTCAAAAGTTATGATGATTTTGATGCTGTAAATGGTATTCCCTCCGTCCTAAAATACAAGTGCCACTTGCGTTTTGCACGCATACTAAAGAAACAAATGATGTTAATGTAGTTTCCAATTTGACCCTCCAAAAGGTGGGTAAATTCTATTGGGCCATTGTTAGGATAATGGGCTTACGAGAATAATAATAATTAAGTGTGATAGTGTAATAGAGGGTCCTGGGCCTGGTAGTAGTTGGCCTTGACTGGCCCATTAGAAATAGAATAAATAAGGGTGAGTGGTGAGTAGATGGGGGGGCAGAACTTGGGATCAGGACTGGGATATTGGGAGTGAGAGACCACTCGAAGAGTCTCAAACCTTTCCTTTCGTGACTTTCTGTATTCCTTCACTAAATTTTCATTAATAAACTACTACTTTCTTCTTGGATTCTTCAGTTACTTATCATTGGTATCAAAGCATCCTTCCTGGAGCCTGAATCCATCGTCAGTTTCAACGACAGTTGAAGAAGAAGATGGACAATAGCGACAGTCAGTGGAAGGAGTTGCGCTATATGCTGTGCAAACTTCGTCACCGTCAGAGGCGACATAGAGACAGAGCTAGGAGTCCACCTAGACACCGTCGGCCAATCGAAAATCAGGTGTTTCCGTCCGTCGCTCCTCCTAGTTCGCAATCATGAACTGCTTCGCGTAGTTCGCAGACACCTTCGCTAGCGCAGGTCTCTTCACAGTCGCTAGCTGATTCTACCGGTCCGCAGATGTCTTCGCAAGCCTCTTCAGCTTCGTCGCGAACAACATCTTCCAGTCAACAAGTCTCTTCGCAAATAGATCTCCCTTGTTCACAGGTCTCTTCATCTACTATCATCTCGAATCAAAGTGTGAGGCTATCAGAAAGAGACTCCAAATCGCTGCGAAATCCCTATGCGAACCCTAGTATCACTCCAGACAGAGGAGACACCATCGGTTCGTAGACTTCATCCTACCCTAGCAGTTCACTTCAAGGCACGATGCGATTGGAAGGAGAAGCCTCCACGTCGCCGTTGCTGTACGTGTCACAAGAGTCAGGCAATCCGCAGAAAACTCTCTCTGAAGAGGAAACTGAGGAAATGGAAGAGGATGAATCAAAGTCTGAGAAAAAGGACAAAATTGAAATGCAAAATCAAAATAATTCCTCGAGGGGTTTGATAGTTTGAGCTATATTCACTGCTATAATTCTGATCTTATGAAAGTAGCTAACAATAGTGATGCTGAAAAAGTACTGCACCACTATCATATCACAGAAGACGAATTAGAGGTCTCTGGTTGTCTTGGTATGGATTATAATCAGCACTTTGGTGGTGGTGTGATGTACTGGAATCATTTTGACCCTATTCAACAGTTCTTAACTATGGGGACCACAGATGGTATGCTGAAAGCAGTTGGAGGGAACAACATGGAAGGTCCTATGGTTTGGGAGCTGGAGAACAGACACTCATCTTCTATATTAAAAAGGAAGTCAAACCTACCCACATTCTCTGCTATTTATGGCATTCATTACACGTTTAGGGAGATGAACGATGACGATATTCAACCCACAGGACGTCCACCAGATAATTCGGAAGGGGCAGAAAATGTTGAGGCCGATGCCAGCTCACTTTCAACTCATGCTTTGCTCGAAGGGACAGTTGCTGAAGCTGCAGAGAAAAATTTCAGGAAATACAACATAAAGTGGTGGGAAGTTGGGCCAGAGATGCAGTTGCTAGAAGATCTTTACCTCTGCAACATTGTGGACCAGGATGCAACAAAGTCCTTGCCTCTGCTCTTTCTTGCTATGCTCTTTCTGGCTATTGAAGGAGTGATGATGAAGGTTCAAATCAGGAAGGTATGGGTCCAGAAAGCAGTGAAGTACTGGGAAGGGAGAGGCGCAAGAATGAAGGTGAACCTAAAGATCAAAGCTGTTTAATATCACCCACCTTGAGGACAAGGTGGTTGTCCAACGGGGGAGATATGTTAGGATAATGGGCTTACGAGAATAATAATAATTAAGTGTGATAGTGTAATAGAGGGTCCTGGGCCTGGTAGTAGTTGGCCTTGCCTGGCCCATTAGAAATAGAATAAATAAGGGTGAGTGGTGAGTAGATGGGGGGGGGGGCAGAACTTGGGATCAGGACTGGGATATTGGGAGTGAGAGACCACTCGAAGAGTCTCAAACCTTTCCTTTCGTGACTTTCTGTATTCCTTCACTAAATTTTCATTAATAAACTACTACTTTCTTCTTGGATTCTTCAGTTACTTATCAGCCATTTTCATTCAGCTTATTGATATTGCGTTGGTTGCTGCTTTTTCGCTCACTGACTGCTAGGTTCTGTGCTCAAACCCTAAAAGAACGTACTTGAAAATTTAGATAGGTTTCATTGTTGGAAGCTGTTAAGCATGTTCCTTTAGCATGCCGATGAATTAACTAAATTTTGTGCGAACTATCCATACAAGTTCAATGTTTATTTCTGAGCCTAAAGCTTTGGTGCATTGTTCTGATAAAAAATCATGTTTATTTGAAGATTTCATACAGGAAGTCGAAAGTATGTTTCTATATGGGCCTATGGGGGTTCACAACTTGGAGCTTGTTTAACACAATATGAAAAGTGAAAACTCTTTTCACCATTGTGAATAGTAGGATTTTGTTGATTTTATTTGACTTAAGTTCTTGATGGATCCTGTTAGGATACAAGTACAAGTTCCAAAATGAAGGACCCTTGTATCTAAAAACTCTTACGGAGTATTTTTCTTGAACATTAATAAATAAGTACAACGTTGCAATCGCTGCCAACGTTCTTCATTCTGTTGAATAATATATGCAGATAAAGGACCTTTAGTCTCTAAGGTGATGTATCCTATTTAAGAAAGTCTTCTGTAACACAAATCATGAACAAATGAAACATATTCTTATCCAAGTCAACAGCCTCTCATGCTGGAACCATCTTAACATGCTCCATGTTTGCAACACATTAAACATGGTTATCATTCTTTGCAGTGCTAAAACTTGAAGAGACAATATAACACGTAAACACATGAACATGGACATTTAAACGCAAGACACACATAGACTTAAATACTTAGCCAACATTCCTATGTAGTTACTGATTAAAGGGGTGTTTGGAACTGATTCTGCTTCTGCTTCTTTTTTAAAGTAAAAGCAGAATCAGAATCAGTTTTCAGAAGCTGGTACCCCCAGCTTCTAAAAAAACTGATTCTGAGAGTAAATTAGAGCACCAGAAGTGCTTCTGGAATTTCACCCAAACACTCCAACTTCTGCTTCTGCTCCCTGAAGGAGCAGAATCAGTTTTGAGAATCAGATCCAAACACCCCCTAAGCAACACAATTTGTGTCAAAAGCCCACGCAGGATTTGATTGTGCGGAAACTGTAGCATAAGTTTTGGGACTGGTGAAGCCGTAGTTGTCTTAAGATCATAAAATCTTCATATTAGCCCTGGTTACGGCATTCTGAATATTGCGTTGGAAGGTTGCAGAGGGGAGGTAAAGCTAACTGGAAGTCTGGAATGTATCACCTAGAAATGTCCCCAGAATAGCCCTCAGTTGCAACATTTAAATTTTTGCACTATTCATACATCTTACTTTGACTACGATTTTCTACTAATATATACTCCCTCCGTCCTGAAAAGGTTCGCCAAATTGACTTTTCTTGGTCAATGACAATCAACTTTGACCAATTATATTTTTTAATACGTAATTATTTTGAATATGAAAATTATATCAAAATGTTCCTTATTCAAAATATTTTCATAAAAGTATAAAATTTATCAATTATATATAAATATAATAGTTAAAATCATTGTCCAAAGTTTGCCATCATTGACCACGAAAAGTCAATATGGCAAACCTTTTCAAGACGGAGGTAGTATAATCAAACTACTATGTATAAAATGTTATTGAATTTCTATGAATGTAAATTATAAAAACAATAACTTTATATAATTACAGTCAAAGTTGTGCGTTGGAAACGTGAAAGTCAAACTGTTGCCACTTTCAAAGAACGGGGGATAGTATATCCAAAAATAGGAAAACAAGTATTCTGAATTTCTGATAGTGAACACCGAGTGGCACTCCCAGAATAAATGACGCTTCATAAAAGTATCTTCATTGATATTCATATACTCGTATTAAATAACCTTACTTCCCTTGATGTTATACTGCGCCCAGACACTCACATGTATGTAGATAAAGGACCCATGGGCTGATGTTAACAGGTGAAAAATGTAGAATCCCATGTAAAAGAATCTTCACTAAGAATCTCTGAAGTTTGAATCAACTTTTTTTTTTATTTCTGGAAGTTTTCTAGAGTTTCCAACGGAGTATTGTGTACTTCTTAATTTTTAGGTTGACACAGCTGGTTGGTTGGAAAGGACAAAGCAGAAGGCTCCATCATCTTTGAGTATAGTGCAGTCAAGGAAACATCTAATGCGTGCCCATATTGTTGCATTGGTCCTCGATGCAGAGGAGGTATGCAAATCATTATTTCTTTATATACTAAAGGTTCCTGTAAGATGGTATCTCGAAATCAGTCCATTAGTGTATGTTGATTTCTTGATGAGTAAATCTTTACCATTTTATTTTCTTGTTGATGTCGAATATAATAACTTAACTGTCTCTTTGAGGAAAACTATAGGTTTGGACACGAAGGCATATGACCGTAGCCATATGGCTACTAATAGAATCTTATCGAATACAAGCTAAAGTTTATGTTACAGAGTATATTTGAACCTTTTTACATTCCTTCTAAAAAACCTGTTATATTTAAGAAGTCTCCACTAACTATCAGAGATATCAATGATATGTAGACAAACTGTGAAGCAACTCTCTGCGAAGGGCTATCAGCATTTTCTGTTTCATTAAAAAAGGAAGTTCCCGCTACAGCAAAATTAGAAACACAGCCGACCCACCCATCAGTGTCCTTTAATACGGCTTATATTATTGTTCAAGGCTCCCGAACACACCATTTGGCATATGTCTTGAGTGTCTTCACTTTTTCGTGTTAAAATAGTCTCTGAATTCCAGAAAGTCAACTGTCATCTCTAGTATGGCAAACCAATTAAAAAGAAATTGTAAGAATAAGAAAAAAATAAAATAGTTCCGTGGTAAAGCTATTGCTTTTAATAAACTAGGGATAATGATAGCACTATCAGCCATCCAGAATCAAATAAAAGTTTTTTCGTTCCTTCCTTCGTCGTTAGGTATATGCATGTTATTCTCTTTGTTCTTGGAGAGGGAGAGTAGTGCTTCTGATGAAGAGGTGTGCCAATGTCATTGTTAGGAGTGGACGATAATATTTATACTCAGCCTTTTGGAAGCTATTTTAAGTTTAAACGTTTCCAGACTTGTTTTAAATGTCACATTGTGAAATTTCTTACCAATGAAAGTATGAGGCGGCGTAATTTCTTGCTGTTTGAGGATAGTTTTTGGGAAGTTGTTTGCCGGAAAATACTATGGAGTCATATATGAAACTAATGGAATTACATCAGCCCTGTGGCCTCACTATCATGATATCATCATCCATTTTTATAGTGGGATGACTTTACTATAGAGATGGTGTATGATGATGAGGCCACCTGAGCTCATATGACTCCATAAAGAAGTCTCAATTTTTCAGATATTTGTTTACCTATCATTGTTTACCTATCATATGACTCCATAAAGAAGTCCCTATCATTATTCTGCTATCAAGCTCAGCCACAAACAAATTAACAATCTCATGTAAACAATGTTAGTCCCTGTTTCTGTAACAGCAATGAATAATCGATCTAACAAGGAAGATTAAACGTAAAGATGAACACAGAATGAATCACCGTAAAACCTTCTTTGATAAACCGTGGAACGTATAGCAGAATGATATAAGCGTAAGGCTATGAATAATAAGTACGACGTTCAGCCTTTTCCTAAACCTCGGCTCCCTTTTTATAGGCGAGGTTTAGGTTAGGCGTACCAGGCTTTTAGCCTGTCTAAATGGGCCTAACAGTTGGCCTGATTTCTATCTAATTTATGCACTATTTAAATACAGGGATTAAATATAAAGCTAATCTATGACCAACTTGATTCACAATAAAATATCTCCAACAATCTCCCCCTTTGTGATCAAGTGTCATTCTCTTATTGCTTCTGTGATTTGAAGTAGTGCTTCCTTAATCCAAGTGCATGTTCATATTGTCTTAGCATATTCCTCTTTTCGAGTCGATCGTCAATGGCCTTTAAAATTGTCTCCACAGTAGAGTGTTCCTTTTGAACATAAGACGATGCCTCTTGAATATTTTCTTCCAGCTTTGCTTTCATCTGTAGAATCTGCTCTCTGATTATCTTCAGTGTTCCGTCGCAGTATTTCTCGATTTCACTGATTACCATCAGACGCTTTTCGTTCTTGTGGTTCAGGTAGGTGACTGCTGGCGGTTTGAAGAAGATGTGATAGGCTGGGAAATCTTCAAGTTCTGGACCATACAGTTTTGGCTTTGTCAGGTTTGTCTTCTTTAGATTGCATTCAATAGCCATTTGTAGGTCATGTGAGGAGTGTACTCGGATCTGTCTAAGCATGAATCTCTTGATAGCTGCGAGGCATTCGCTGTATACTATGTTTTGCCTGACTGGAAGGTATCTGTAGGCCATGAGCATTTGGTAGATGTCATCCGGTTTCAGCATGATGAAGTCGTTCTCTTGACAAGTGAATTCGCTCCCATCGGTGCGTTGAAGTCTGAAAGTGTAGAATGTTACTCCATGATAGTCTTCAGCTTTCACTTGTAGAATTTGATGAATCGGGAGAATATTTGACTTCAGATCTTGTTCCATCAGTTCTCTCTGTGTACCGGTTGACCTTTGCAGCAACATGTGCAGATGACCTCCAGCCTGTTTTCCTTTTAAGTGTGTAAGGCCTCTTAGCTTTAGTTCGTTCAGTGGCTTGACTTTGTCTGGTCTACGCCAGATATGCTCTCTGATTTCTTCTTGGAAGGGGGCTTTGATTCGAACGTTGTCCCAGGGTTTCTCTGTCTTGGGAAGTCTTCCCGCTGATTGTCTTACGACTGATTCAAGAGCTTTTTGGGATTCCTTGTAGTTCTCCCCTTCCTTACGTTCATCGTCCTCGAGCCTAATGATATCTTCAGAGCATTTGTTTATAAGCTCTCGTAGCCACCAGTTCCTTTGCATGTCCTCTTGCTCGGCTTCAACCCGGAGATCATCCCATTCTGTCCATTTTCTCGGCCATTTGTCGTATATCACCGCCTCTTCCAGTGCATCATGGATGTCTTTGCCTGGGGAGATGTATGGAGTTCTTTGTTTAGGCGATGATTGTTCCTGTGTAGCACTACCGGGTTCACTAGGATTGCCCGTTGACATCAGCTTAGAACTAGGTTCCAACTGATGGCCTGATGGAGAAGATGTACCAGTGGTATCATCATCAGGACTTCCATCCCCTCCTCGGTTGGTATCTCTAGGAGATACGCCTCGGGATGTTATTTCTAGCTCGACCACGCTAGAGAGTTTGGCTGTGGGTGGTGGCTGTTGGTTTGTTGAGGTTTCAGGTTGAATTGGCTGTGGAGTATGGCTTGGAAGAGTAGTTTGCTCAAGTGATCGAGGTCGCTTGTTCTCCCCCTCATGAGGATCCGAATCATCGGGGTCCTCATGGGAACGTTTGCGACCACGAAGACTCTCCTTGCAAGTACTCTTGGTTTCGGGTGAGGAAAGAAGAGCTTCTAGTATGGCTTGCTGATGAAGAGTGAGGTTGTCTTCTGGGGTATTTAAGAGATTGTTCAGCAAAGCCGAAGCTAGGGTGTCAAAGGATAGGGAGGAAAGATCGATGGAGGGTGTGGTCGGGTGTGGTGAGAATACCGGTTCTGTATTCTGGGTTTCCCGAGAAATAGAAGGGATAGGGATTTGGTTGATGGATTGGTGGGATAGAGGGGTGGAGGATATGGGTTGTGTATGGGAGATGAACGGTTCATGGGAAGGTTGGGGTGGTGTCTGTTCAGACCGAACCGCTTGGGTGGTCCTAAATTCCTGTGCTAGAGCGGTCATTGCATCTTGCACCCATGGTTTAATGGTGGAATCTAGGAAGCGATTTAGTAGAACGTTTACGTCTTCAAAGGTAGGGTGACCAGTTACGGGGGTTGTAACTGTTGACACAGCATCAGTGAAGATTGCTGATGTGTGGCCTGCATTTAATGATGGAATCATTATGGGCGTAGCAGGGCTTCCAACCGTCATAGCTTGCGCTCTGGTTGTTGCGTTCAGGGTGAGTGCACCTGTATGTGCTGTGAATAGTGTAGGTGTCCTAGAAAAAGAAGAAAATGTGGGAAATGTGACACCTAGACTCGATGTGAGTGAAGAAGGGGTTTTGACCTCGGGAGATAGGTCAATTGTATGCTCAACTGATTCAGAAGGAACCAGTGAGGGGGTTGAATCCCGTTCTTTTGAAACAATAACCTTTTGAGAGGCAATTGAGTGGCTGGGAGAGGGCTGTGCATGCGCAGTTGAGCCAGATGCTGCGACTTCTACTCGGGAACCGAAAAGATCGGCTCCTGTGCTTAGGGATTCAGCTCGGCTTATCTGGATGAAGGAGTCGCAGCCAGCAAAGATGTGCTCGTCTGCCTTATCAACCAGACTCTTTGTCGCTCGGGACTGGGGCCTGGCCTTAGCAACCTTGTCATTTTTGACTTTAGCCCTTGTCTCTCGGATGACAACTTCTTCCTGGTTGATTGATGTCTTGATGGAGTGAGCTGCCTCGTCGTAATCATCCTTTGAGCAATTTGTCTCGCTCGGATCAGCTCTTGGTTTAGCTGTTTCTTTAATAGTGAAGACTTGAGGTCTGCGAGCTATGATTGGTGCTGCGTCTTCAGCAGTGATTCTTCTCTTATTTGGAGATTCGGCGGGCAGCTTTCCTTTTCTAATTAGTGCATATGTGAGCTCCACATCATCACTATCATTTTCATCACTGTTATCATCCGAGTCTGATTTGTCACTCTCCGTGCCCACGCTCTCGGAGGCCTTGTCGTCAGTGTTTGTTTGGGCTCCACTAGACGATTCACTGGCCGTCTCCTCAGCGTCTTCCTTGGTGCCCTCAGCCGCCTGACTCGTCTCTAGAGAGTCGTCAGACTTCCCTTCATTGGGCATACCGGCCACTGGTTTCTGTGGCTTTTGGGCTCTCTTAGGACCCTTACTTTCACTCGGCTTTGTCCCCGGGGTAGGTCCAGCTGGGTTTTGCTGAACCATAGGGACAGTTCTCTTAGTGGCTTCCTTGTACTGCTGGACCGCTGGATTTGAAGATTTGACAAGCTTGAGCAGAAATCCAGGGATCCTTAGACCGAAGATAGGATTCTTGTCTGCTTTGAAATATTGCAGCTTCGGTGCATTGAAGTGTGGATCTGAGCTCCGTTTTGGTATTGAGGAGTGCTCTGCCATGGAGTCGTGAATGATTAGCCCGAGCCACCTTGCGTACGGGATGGTACCTGGCCTGTTCTTTTCTTTGGCTTTGACCAGGTCCATTAGCTCTGAGAAGAAGAGCTGTGCCAGGTCGTAGTTCTTGTTGAAAGCAATGCCATGAAAGATTAGCAGTATCTGCTTGTTGCACTTGTCGAAGCCGGCATGCTTAGGTGACAGGCACTTGTTCACCAGCCCGAAGAGATTCTTCCACGGATGGTGAAGATATGCTCCGTTGAAGTTGGAGAGCTGTGGCAGTAGAGATGTGTAGCCAAGGGATGCCACGTCTGTGAGCAGATCGGGGATGGTTGGCAGTGCATCATACGTATCGTGAACTGGCAGCGCTAGAGTTGTCCGTAGAGTAGATGGTGTAAGAATCACCCGCATGCCGTTCAGCTTGGTCTTTATTTTTGAACGATCCTTCAGCGAATCAGTATGCATATGCCCCCAGAACTGTTGTAGGTATATCTCTGGCACCGGTTTTGAGTTGTGAAGTGCAGGCCAGAGATAGTGACCTTTCATGATGGCTGGCACTATGGGGTTCTGACATTTGAACACCGCAAGGTCTAGCTGGAAATTGTTGTCCAGCACCTTGATCCATTTTCCTTTGGGGTAGATGGCATCATCGATCTGCGTTTGAGTGTTTCCTGCCATTTTAAACTGTAGAAGCAGGGGGTCAGCATATGAAATTCAACTGATTGATTAGATTGAAAGAGTTTGATTTTAAGGTTTCAGATAAGTTTATGCAGGTGGAATTTTGAAAAAATTTCTAAGTCCAAATCTCGAGATTTGAATCTCGAGATCATGATTTCGAGATTCAAATCTCGAGGTCAAGATATCGAGATGAGGATCTCGAGATCTTGATTTCGAGAAGATGAACCGACGATTTCGAGAAGAGATTAAACCACCTGCAAAAACATATCAAAGGGATAACAAATTGATTTTGATTTTTTTTGGAAAATTCAAGGGTTTATTTGTGCGAAATCAAGAGTTTGTTTCTCGAAGACGAACACGAACAGGTTTTCGAGATGATCGTTCGTATTCGAGATGGTCGATTGCCACTTGAGCGTTAACTACCTTCGAAGGATGTCGGAAGGAGAGGTTAGAAGAAGAAGGTAGGTTTGCGAGAACAAGGGTTTTGTGAAGTCGAGGAGCTCTGCGATTTTCAAGCCTTTGCGAAAAGTTTAGAATAGGAAGTGAAGGGCTTTTCCGAGGCTTATATACGCGAGAAAAAAATATTTGGACCTCCTCCCTAACAATTGAGCCCGAATGATTGGGCTGGCACACAGTGCCCTTAAAAAATTCGAGGCCCAAACCAGTAAAAATAGAGAGCTCCCCCTTAATCAGTGAAAATTTGCTCCCCTCAAAAAATTCAACGAACAATATGTACAAATGCAACGCACACACACTTTTTTTTTGTTCTTTTTGATTTTTCACCCACGCAACACATGCAACGCACACACACTATTTTTTGTTCTTTTTCTGGTTTTCTCCCCCTCAATACATGCAACGCACACACACTATTTACAAATCCCACACACACACTTTTTAGATCAGTGGAGACATAATTAAACGGGCTCGAGGTTCAACATGCCCAACTTGGAGACTAGGAACTGGAATCGTTTTTCATCCAATGCCTTAGTGAACAAGTCAGCCAGTTGAAGCTCAGAACTTACAAAATACATGTCAATGTCTCCTTTTTCCACATGATCCTTGATGAAATGATAGCGCAGGTCGATGTGTTTGGTGCGGGAGTGATGAACTGGGTTGCTGGTGATGGCTATGGCGCTTTGAGAGTCACTGTAGATCGGGATATGGCGGAGTGTGTAACCGTAGTCCTTTAGCTGGGTCTTCATCCATAATATTTGTGAACAACAGCTAGCAGCCGCGACGTATTCTGCCTCGGCCGTAGATGTTGACACACAGTTCTGTTTCTTGGAAGACCAGCAGACTAACTTATCGCCCAAGAATTGGACAGCTCCCGATGTGCTTTTGCGGTCCATCCGACAACCAGCAAAGTCAGCATCCGAATATCCGACTAGGTCAAAACCTGAGTGCTTGGGATACCAAAGTCCTAGATTCACAGTGCCTTTGAGATATCTCAGAATTCTTCGAACAGCGGTCAGATGGGATTCCTTCGGATTTGCCTGAAAGCGTGCACATAAGCATGTGGAGAAGACAATGTCAGACCTACTTGATGTGAGATATAGCAAAGATCCAATGATGGCCCTGTAGTTTGTAGCATCAACTGGCTTCCCGGAGGGATCTGAGTCTAGTTTGTTGTTGGGGGACATAGGGGTCGTCATGGAAGATTTGCCGTCAACGTTGAATCTCTTAAGCATTTCCAGGATGTACTTTGACTGATTGATGAAAATGCCGTCAGAGAGTTGTCTTACTTGCAGGCCTAGAAAGAAATTCAGTTCTCCCATCATGCTCATCTCGAACTTGGTTTTCATCAGTTTCTCAAAGTGTTTGCGCAGGCTTGGATTGGAGGAGGCGAAGATAATGTCATCAACATAGATCTGAATCAGGATGATGTCAGATTTCTGTCGCTTGATGAATAGTGTGGTATCAATCTTCCCTTTTGAGAAACCTGAGTCAATCAGAAATTCGGTTAATGCATCATACCAAGCTCTTGGTGCCTGTTTTAACCCATACAGAGCTTTCTTTAGCTTGTACACATGGTCGGGATATCTGGGATCTATGAATCCTTCGGGTTGGGCGACATAGACTTCTTCTTCCAAGACTTCATTCAGAAAGGCAGTCTTGACGTCCATTTGAAAGACAGTAAAGTTCTTGTGGGCCGCGTACGCAAGAAAAAGGCGGATTGCTTCAATTCTTGCTACGGGTGCAAATGTTTCATCATAGTCTATGCCCTCTTGCTGATTGTATCCTTTAGCGACCAGTCGTGCCTTGTTCCTTATCATTATGCCTTCTTCGTCTTTCTTGTTCTTGAACACCCATTTTGTGCCAATGATGGTTTTCTGAGGGGGTTTAGGCACGAGTGTCCACACATCTAGTCTGTCAAACTGATTGAGCTCATCTTGCATGGCAATCACCCAATCTGGATCAGCG